ACCCCCCCCCCCCCCCTCCACATAAAATTAGGTGCCCCCCCTGAAACCCCCCTACTCAAGATAGACTCCTGGGCGTCTTTGGGCCCAAACCGGCGAATAATAACTGAGGGTGGGAACTGCCGAGAAAGGGCCATTCTTATCTTGAATTTTTATTTTCTCCTCAACGATTACCTGTACACCTGGCAATTCAGGGTCTCTGGCGTTCTCAGCGACTTTAATGAACGAAACAACAAAATCGTTGATTTCTATAGAGGCTAGACTATGTAGCTTTCCATCTCCTCTGTCGGCACGTTATGGCCCCACACAAACACTCCTCAGCCTCAGGGTCAGCATTTCTTAGAATGTGATTCACCATAGAAAACTTCTATAGAAAGCATGCAGCCACTTTTCAATGAAAGCTCCAGTGACGAAAGAAGGAATTTCTGTGTCAGAGGTGACAGCAGCAGAAGCGCCAACAACCCTCAGTCACAACCAGTACAACTGCGGTCCCGTTTGGGGACTAGTTTTGACCTGTTGGTTGAAATTGACACGGTCGGCGACAGTTACCATCGGTCGGCGGTGGTCGACAACAGTCTGCACTAAGTTTTTTTGTTTTTTGACAATACAAAGAGCCTTCTTCGATAAAAAATAAAGAGTAATAAATAAATAAACCAAAGGATTCAAATGAATATAATGCTTTCATTATGCACTGTGGTAGGATTGGTTTGTGAGAGTCAGCTATTTATTCCCTTATGAGTAGCTCTGGGCGATCGTGGAAAAATTTGGTAATTTACTAACATTAATATCATTTGGTGTCATTTCGGACAATGAAAAACTCTGGAAGGCCGCGATTAGCGGGCACTCAAGTGAACTCATTCGACAAAATTTCACAGCATAAATAAAGCATTCATTAGCTGCTCTAGTGAATTGTAGTCAAGGACAACTCAAGAATTCATCTCAGGAGAGAGTGAGAGAGAGAAATTTAAATAAAAATTTAGTGAGAAATGTCATAAAAAGTCTTTTAAAAATTGATCACACATACAGGCAGTTGACATTCAATACTTAATTCAGACTGTTGCCGACTGCCGCCGACCGTTGTGACCATCGCCGACTGTCACTTTCAACCGACCTGTTTAGACACAACCGACGATTACTTCTGATTCTAAACGATTATCTTACTTTTTGATCCGCGTGCCAATATGGAGAGATATCCTATCAAACCTATTGCAAAACATCAAATTATGGTCAAATTCAGGGGGTCAAGCCCCCCTCAAACCCCCCTTGCCTTTTTGAAATCAAGTGAAATTTTACTGCTCATTTTGTAGGCTAGATCTACTGATAAAGCAGTGATGCTGACTATTTGAATCAGTATAGATATAGTGTGATTTAGTACAAACGGGACCGCAATTGTACAGGAGTGCCCTATATATAACGTGCCAACAGGGGAGATGGAAAGCTGTGGAGAAGTGACATGATGCCGGAGAATAGCCACTCGCGTAGAATTATTCAATATAAGTGCATAAACATATCTTCCGTTTGCCTATTATTCTATGACTTCTAGATGTACATGTAGATCTAGATCTAAATAATTTTTTTAATTTCCCTCGGTTTTTGTTATACCAAACCGACATTATAATCTAATTATATAAGTTGTTGGTTTCTTCTTTGTAAATCTGCTACACTTGATAAAAGTAGCCTACTTCAGTAAACAATTTGTGGTGCGACTTATCTTATCTGACATATGTTTGAGGATAAGTTGCGCCACAAATGTTTGACCACACTACGACAATAGTGTAGTAGACTTGTACTAGTCTTTACTTTAGTCTTAGGTTGAAGGTATAACAGTGTTATCGTTTTCCATCTCATTACTTAAATTACTACTCATATTCTTATTCTACAAAAACTGTAGTTTATGTACATAAACCTATGTATATATATGTAGTTTTTTTGGGGGGGTTTTCTCTGGTGCAATCGAGACATGTATGGAGATACTGTTGAACCTTCTCTAAAAGGGTCACCTGTACGATCCATCACTTCCCATTTCCCCCCTGCTTTTTTTTAATCATTATAATGACACTAGGTACTTTTCTCTTCATTAATGGGTTGCCATTTTATGCAATTTCGACTGTACTTCATTTGAACTAACAGTCTTTCTCTGCAATCATTGCTATTAGTAAAGCAATTTAGTTAATTTGATAATGATAAAATGTGCTATAATTTTTAAATACGGTGTGCTGCAAGTTCTTTACTTGAATTTTTCCTATTTCAGTAGCTGCGACTGACATCAGGACTTGTAATGGACTTTGAGGACATGAGGAGACCAGGTCTGTTTACGGGACCTGTGTCAAGTCAAGGTCCACTGGCCACGCCCCCTCCACCCCCTCCACCGCCCCCTCTTCCACCTCGCTCATCAACAACAGTTACAAATGTTCCAACTGCTGTGCAGTTTTTGTCCGATCTTTCGTCGTACACAATCCCGGAGACAGAGGCGGAGAACACGTGCCAGGACCTGGACAATACATCGCCCAATGCTTGTTCGCTCTCCAATAACTCTCATCACTGCCCTCAGCCTTCGCCCAAAGATGTGGCAGAAGTGATATCTCGGCAGTTTAGGAATTGTCTGCCACAGGCTCATGGGGAGTCTGATCTACACCGGGCAGCATTTGAAGGGGATGCTGTTCGGTTGCAGTTGCTGCTGGATCAGATCGCTGGCGAGTCATACAAATTTGACATCATTAATCAGAGGAATCGTCTCGGATGTACACCAATAAGACTTGCAGCGACAGGTAGTTTGATATATTGTCGCCATCGTGATAAGACGGATAACCACTAAATCTTTTCGCAAATCGTTTTCTACAAAGTATCATGTTTCATATGCAGGGTAAAAAATTGTACTCAAATAAATGACCAGAGAAGTGGACTTTCTAAACTTGTGTGAAAGCTGGATAAAAGAAGTCGTCCTTTTAATAAGTCAGTTTTTGCCTTCTCCTGAAAAATTTACCCGTTTTCTCGTATCCAATCTTATCACAATGGCAACGATATGCTTCTTAATTCTCTGATCATGTCTGATGGTTCAGGGTAATTTGAGAGAACCGAGTAATATATTTTTGTCTCAATGTGGTGGAATCAGGTGTTTGTCAATTTTTAGGGTATAAAGTTATTAGTATATTATAACCTTAAAGTTAAAGCCTATCAGTTTGCTGTGTTTTTGATGAAAAAAACGTTTAACTGTCTTGAATAGAAGTGGAGATATTTGTGATTGAAGCAGGTGGGGGTTGCCTTGTGTCTAAGATGAAATCCAGATATTTGGGATTGAGCGAGCTCAGTGGTTGGAGGGGTCGCCTAGTGTCAGGTGAAATTAGCGAGAAATATATGCCTGAAACAGTTTTCCGTTTACCAATGCTTAAGTGTCTTTGGACGCCACAAGTTTATCATATTTGTGCCTTTGATCAACATTTGCCTGCAAATTCCGCTCAGAAATATCTTTTTTAATGGACAAAAAAGGTGTTCAGCTAATAAAAGAAAAATTCCTATAAAGTTGCATAATGGGTGGAAAGAAGTCATTTTGTTCTGTGTCACTATTACCCCCCCCCCGGGCGATGCCACTGACTGTAGT